ACTGAAGACGTATCTGTGGCAACTTGCGACGGTTAAGCGATCAGTAGATACAGTCTTTCTGTTAAAACCCAACAGCAGTAGGTAGGTGTGCCTGCTGCCTGCCGTGAAATCCCTCCGGGTGTCCGCGGACTCCCACTTCCCACCGTCCCGTCGTCGCGGCCCTCGCAACATGCGGACGCGACGGCGTCTGTCCGTCGGTCCGTGAGTCCACTGCACAGACCCTGCACGCCCGGAGGAGGGGAGGGCACCCCAAACCGCGGACGGCATCCACACCTTCGGGTCTCGGGCCCGGCGCTGAGCGGAGTTCCCGAGGACTTGAAAGCGGAAAGAGGAAAAAGTCTGGAGCGAGAAACCCCCGCCAGCGCCGGCCCCAGCGCCGGCCGGCCCGCCCACCCGGCCGGCTGCGCAGTCACCGCCCAGACGGAGGGAGGCACGGCGGGACCGGCAGGAGCGCGCTCCGCGGACACTCACCGAGAGGCGGGAGCAGGGACCCGACACCGCCCATCGGTGGGAGAGCCCTATAAAGCAGCGGCGAAGCCAGGCTGGGACAGACGCGCGGACCCAGCCCGACCCGGTGGCCGGCGCTCGTGGTCTGGGCGCGTCTCCAGGCGCCCCCTCGCGGTCGGGCATGTGCGCGCCCTGCGGGCATGGCCTCGGCGGTGTTTGAGGGCACGTCGCTAGTGAACATGTTTGTGCGCGGCTGTTGGGTGAACGGCATCCGTAGGCTCATCATCAACCGGCGCGGGGACGAAGAAGAGTTTTTTGAGATTCGCACTGAGTGGTCGGACCGCAACGTGCTCTACCTGCACCGCAGCTACGCCGACCTGGGCCGGCTGCTGCGCCGCCTGCGCGACTCCTTCCCCGAGGACCGGCCTGCGCTGGCGTGCTCCCCGCTGCTGCCAGGTGTGCGGGGCTGGGCGGGCGGGCGGCGGGAGCGGGCTGCAGAGAGCCCTGGATCGGTCACTGAAGCTGGATCAGTCCCAGGTCCCGGCACAAGGCTGGGCGCTTAGCCGGTCAGCCCCTAGGCACCGCCTGGAAGACCCGGAGCCTGCCCGGAGTGTGAGAGAGAAGGGCAGGAGGCGAGGGCACGGGTGGGAGACGGCTTGGAGGGGTCGGGGCTGCCCCGCAGGCGACACCAGTGACGTGGCCGCCCGCTTCACCCCAGCCTTCCAGGGTCGCTGCTTCAGCCTCCGCCTCCGGAAGAGCTGGCTGCCTGCAGGCGGCTGGCGGCTTCCCGAGTTTGAGGAACAGTTAGTTAGCCAGTGTCCGACTTGGGAGAGTCTAGTCTCCCTGAGCTCCTCCTCTTCCAGCCATTGACAAAAGCTCCCAGGGCGAAGCAGGCTGCCACGCAGCGCTTCCGTCCTTGCTGGGCGGAGGGGCCTGGGTCCCACCCCGGGATGGGGCCGAGCATTCGGGTTTGATTAGTGCGGCCACCTCCTCCCAGCCTTGTGACTGAGCCTGCCCCGGCATTTCGCCGACCACTTGTTGCAGTTGCTCTCTAAGCAGACAGGGTGGGACCATGGGGCCCGTGGCGCTGGATAGTGCGCTGGAATGCAAGGTCAGTTAGAACCGCTAGGTCCATGGTTCAAACTCACTAGCCACTCCTTTACAGAGTCACTCTGAGTCTGAATCGACTCGATGGCACTTAACAACAACAGGGTGGCTTAGGAATCCTGGTGTGGCGCTGTAGGATACGCACTGGACTGCTAACCACAAGATTGGCAGTTCAAACCCATCAGCCGCTGCTTGGAAACCCTGTACAGGGTTGATAAGTCAGCATCCACTCAACAGCACGTAACAACAACGGAGAATTAAGGAGTCTTGGTGTGGCGCTGCAGGATAAGCACTGGACTGCTAACCACAGGATTGGCAGTTCAAACCCATCATCTGCTCCTCAGAAACCCTTTACAGGATTGCATAAGTCGGAATCCACTCGACAGTACGCAACAAAAACCGGGTGACTTAAGGAGTCCTAGTGTGGCGCTGCAGGATAACCACAAGGTTTACGGTTCAAACCCATCAGCTGCTGCTTGGAAACCCTAAACAAGGTCTTTATGAGTCAGCACCGATGGCTTAAAGGACAGTTCTTGTTAAGTGCCGTCAAGTCAGTTCCGACCCATAGCGAACCTGACAGGGTTTCCGAGGCTGTAAATCTTCACGGGAGCGGAAAGCCTCATCTTTCTTCCGCGGAGCAGCTAGTAGTTTCAAACTGCTGGCCTTGAAGTTTGCAGCCTGATTCGATTCGTAACCACTATGGTTCTGGAAAAGGCTTCACTTGTAAATCAATGTGCGCCTGCCTGTCTGGAGTTCTAGAGTTAGTGGCTCACCCCAGTGTGAGCATTACTGTATAAAGAGCCCAGTTCTGGGACAGATCCCGCTCTCATGACATCTCTGGCCCTGAAGTCAGCATGCGAGAAGACCCTGAGCGCAAGACGTGTCTTTCAGCTGTGTTCTCTTCCTGTTCTCAGTATTCGTAGCTTGCTGAAGACAGTTTAGGACTAGTTCAAGTTTTCCTTAGACTTGTTATTTGGCTGTTTGTATTACTGTGTTTTTCATTGAGCAATGATAAAAGATCTGTCTTTTCAGTGACTTTGGCCTATTCTGAGGGCAAGCAGAGAGCCACCCTGCTCCACAATCCTGCAATCTGGGTACCTATAATGTTTTAACTGTCATCTGTGTTTTGGGGTGAGAATTCAAGTGCTTGGTAGATTGTGTAGAATGAAAACCCACTGCCGCCCAGTTGATTCCCACACAAAGTGACGCTCTAGGAAGGACAGAGTCAAACTGCCCCCCAAGGCTATACGTCTTTACAGAAGCAAACTGCCACACTGATTAGCAATCAAGCACATAACCATGGTACACCAGGGCTCCCATAAATGCAAGGTGTGGTTCTTGTGGCACAGTCCTCCTCCAAGCAGAGGAGGACAGGGACTTAGAGGACTCAGCCTACATTACAGTCTAGGTTGTGTTGCAGAGGTGGGAGGAGCAGAGGGCCCCCACCCTCCCGGAACTCCAGCCCGCCTTTCTCATGCCTAGCTCCCTCTCTCTCCCTGTGCACTGGTGGACTGCTGGGCTGGTTTGGGAGGTGGGGAGACACTGATCTGACGCTCTGAGCATGCCTCAGAAGGATGGAGGCTGCCAGTGAAGGAAATTTGAAAAAGTGTGTGATCGCTGTGGAGAACATAATACTAAGAAGAGATAGGATAGCTTTCTTCAAGGGGGAAAAAACAATCAAATAGGGGTCAGGCATAGCAGGGGTGGGAGGGCAGTGTGGTTGAGAACCAGTGGTCATTGTTAAAGGACTTTGCAACAGCCCAAGACAGAATTGGTGCCTTGGCTGACCAGTGGTACCTGTCCAGTGGGGGATCCCTGGAGTTGATGGCCTGGAACCAGTGGAAGGTGGTCTTTCTCCATTCTAGTTCATGATTCTCTTCAGAGAAGACCCTTGTTTTTGATTCTTTTGAAACCCGGGAAATCATTTGCTACATAAATACAACATAGTCATGTAGAAGAAGATTCCACCCGTTTCCATGCAGATTTACTATTTGCATAAAAAACTTGTCTGTATATACAAAGGATAAACACAAAAGACAACCAGATGTGTGCATTGTATTGGAAATGCCCGTTCTTCTCAGTATAAATCCCCGTCAGTCAGATTTTCCCACTTTAAATGTATTGAAATGTTTCTGGGCTGGATTAGATTTGCACTCTTTTGCTTTCATTAAAAGCTTTGTGAGAAAATATGAGTTTGGGAGCTTACGCTGGCTGCAGGCCATTGCTCTTGCAAATGTAGGAGTAAACACCCTCAGAGGGTGTGAAAGTCTGGGTCCCTACTGGCACCGCTGAATCGGCATGCCATTAAAGGGTGCTGAGCCCTTTTTCTTGGTCCCTCCTGGGGGGTATTTGTGGGAGAGAAAGCTCCTTTTCTCCCTCCTGAGGAAACACTGTGATGTTATGCTTGGCTGTTATCCACAGGCCTTGTCTATATTATGACATATCTACAAGGAGTTTTTATTATTGTGATAAATATGCAAGGGGACTTCAAAAAGCTCATGGAAAAATAGGATAGAAAATTAATGGATTTTTTCTACAAACTTTTTGAAGCCCCCTTGTTTACAGTGTGAAGTTCAGTGATATTAATTGGGTTCACCATATTGGGAAGACATCGCCACTATACACTTCCAAAAAGATTTCATCACCCTAGACCGATGCACGGAGTCCCGGTGTGGCGCTGCGGGTTGATGCGCTGCACTTCAAGGTTACTTAAAAACTGCAGGGCTGGCAGTTCAAGCTCACCAGCCACTCCTCGGAAACCCTATGTAGGGTCTTTGTGAGTTGAAACCAACTTGATGGCACTTCACAACAACAAACAAAAACATGATACCCTCTGCAGGGATTGCTAAAACCCTGCATGGGTTATAAGCAGAGTACTTACTGTCCCAGGTCCTCCCTGAGCCTTCGGTGGGCGAGGTTGGCTTTAGGACTTGTCTCGCCTCCATCCTCCCTTGTCCTTGGGGTTCTGACTGCTCACCTCCCCCTCCTCTTGATCTGGACCTGATAGACCCACCTTTGCTTCCCCCCTCCCCCCTTTGCATTGCTTCCTGCAGGTGGCTTTCTCAGGGTTACTGAGGTATTAACCTTTTGCCTTTTCCACACTCTCTCACTGGACTGACAAGACTTTTCAACCTCGGAAACCCTATACAGGGTCTCTGTGAGTTGGAACCGACTCGACAGCACTTAACAACCAATAACAGCGATGTATCTACAGTGGTTCAGGTTTTCCTGCCCAGACCCCTGTGATTCTGGAGTCCTGGTGGACTGCAAAGTCAGTTTGAACCACAAGGTCAACAGTTCAAGCTCACCAATCAATCCTATACAGGGTCACTATGAGTTGGAACCAACTTGATGGCATTTAACAACTTGTGATACTTATGTTCTAGTTAGGAAAAATCCACTAATAAATAAAATGAACAAGTAAAAAAGTAGATACTGATAAGTATTTAAGATTAAAAAAAAAAATTAACAGGAGGGACAATGACATGTAAGGCCTTAAGAGGTTTTCACTTTAGATAGGGTCACCAGGGAAGATCTGCTGAGAAGTAACTATGAGCAGAGACCTGAAGGAGGGAGAGAGTCAGCCTTGTGGCTACTTGGGAAGGAACATTCCAGGCAGAGGGAAGAGCAAGTGCAAAGGCCCTGAGGCCAGTATATGCCAGGTGGGTTTGAGTAAGGAGCACAGCACTGTAGCTGGAGCGGAGAGAAGGAGGTGGGAGCCATAGGGGAAACGAGGCGGTGGGGCAGATCATCTCAGGCCTTGTGGGTTGTGCTTAAGTTCTGGGCTGCTGTTGTCTCTGGAGAACTTTGAGCAGGGGAATGACTTGGTCTGTCTTGCACTCTGGCTACTGTGCTGAGACAGACTGGAGGGAACAGGTGAGAGGGGCAAGACTTGGTCCCAGGTGCAGACGAGCAGGTAGGAGAGGTGATCAAAGACAGATGTGCGTTAAGGGGGAGCTGGAGTTTCAGAGAGACCAGATGTGGGTGTGGAGGGCTCAGGGAGGATGCTGACTTTTCTGTCTGAGAAGCAGAATTGGCATTGCTGAGATGGGAAGCCTGCAGGAAGGGCTGAACCAGGGGAGGAGGTAGCCTAGCTGTGAACGTGGTGTTCTGGAATTTGTAGGGCCGTGTTTTGGAGCCTGTGTGTGACTCTAGTGTTCACCTATGTGTCCCCTTTGTCCACAGGGACATGAGTCAGCCTGCAGAATGGTAGCCTATCTGTTTTTAGACCTGAGATCAGAGTAGAGGCAAGCAGGATACTATCAGACACAAGTTGTCTTCAGCCCCTCACACCTACAGATCGGACAGTAAATGCTCTCAGTCCCCCAGGCCTGTGCCTGCCTCTGTGA